AGGACGTGGGAATCTGTGCATAGGTGGCAGGGAAGAGGAATCAGTGTTGGGCCACCTAGGCATGGCTGGAGGTGGTAATGTGGGGGTGGACAATAACTGGAAACCAAAAATCTGAGTTTTGTGGTCAGCACTTGTGTCTCCCTAGACTGGAGGGGTCTCTGGCATCTTCTGGGCTCCTCGCCTGATGCAAAGGGTGACACGTTTCAGCACGACACCTTTTCTGCTTGCAAAAGTGTTGGGAAGGAGGGAATGTGTTGTGAAGATGTGGTGTTTTCACCTTTAGGGCTATAGAAAAGATGCCTTGATGTGACTGGCTATCCTGGAAGATAGGGCATGCTGCCCAGCATCTAGTTCTTCACTCCCACAGCGGCTGGACCTGTGTCACAAGGAAGAGCTGTGAGACACGAGACAGGATGCCCTGGAGACTGAAGGGAGATGGAGGACTTCTGCATCTTTGTGACGCAGCGCTTGCCACTGCAGGGAATGAGGGGTGCCGAGCCTTACGGTGGTGTAAGAGAGGCACAAGGCGCTCTGCAAGTTGGTTGGCACACGGGGCCATCTTCTCTGTACCCCTGGGTGGACACTGGTCCCTCTGCAGGCTCCAGCTCAGCTTTTCAAGGGTGCTTCTTGTCCTTTCCCAGCTGCTAGTCCAAATGGCTGAGAAACATCTCTTGCTGCAGGCTGTGTCCTTGCTTTTCTCCCCACTGGGACAGCAGGGAAAGGGCCTCTGTCTCAGCTGCTCAGAGCTGGGAATCGGTGCCACTGGCTGGCTTTTCACAGCATCCTTTAATGCTGCCTCTTCCTCCCAGAGCAAGTGCCACTCATCTTGAAAATGTCACGCATGGCTGTGATGCTATAGCTCAGAGCGGGGATAGGGGGGCTCTCCCCCCACGCCATTTTCCACCTGTCTCCTGGCCTCCATTCAAGGACCCGACAGGCACCCAAGAGCCCCAGCTGCTTGTCCGCGGCGTTAGGAGCCAGGCCTCAGTTGTTCGGATCGGCTTGGGGTCCCCTCATCCGGAGCTGCCACCTGTTTGCTGGCAAGACACAGCTCGTGCAAGGATGCTGCAGTGCTCGCTCATCATGTCGCAGCTATGGCAGTGTGTCTCTGTGCAGTGACATGGCAATGACTTGAGCGGAGGCACCAGCCGTTTAAAGGCGCCGGCCTGCCTGGATCGTTATGGGCCTCATCTCATCGCAGCGCAAGTGCAAAAGGGTTAAGTTCTTCTGGGCAATGCTGCTCCTTCTGAGGTTGGACGGCCTCATTTTTCTCCCTGTTTTCCAGAGGGAAGAACGGAGGCACAGAGTGATGATGGACCAGATTGCTGCCCCTGGCATGCTTTTTGGTCAAAGGGTCTCTGAGTGGAGGAGGATGATGTGGTGAAATTAAGCTCCTCCTAACACAGATAGCAACTGTAAGCCAGACGCACCAGCTTGCAGAGGGCAGATGGACCGGAGATGGGACATTAGCCAATGGAGCTGCAGCCCATGGATATACTCAACCTCCCTAGGTACCATGAGCTTCCTTGGGCTGCATCCCTGCTCCAGGAGCAGCAGGGCCCTCCCTTGCTGCGGTGAGCTGAGAAGAAATGCACCGAGGGCTTTGAGGCCTCGGTGTTGCAGAGACGGGTACCCAAAGTCATCTGAGCCTCCATCTCATATGGAGATCACTGCCCTGAATGTGGCCATCCTTGGAGCATGCCGGGGGAGGACAGCTGGGGAAAGGGCAGGAGGCTGAGAGCATGGAGGGAGCCCGGCAGCTCAAGTCTTTCTCGTTATGGGTTAATGCCCAAGCACCAACCTTCCTCTGGACACTGATCTTTAGTGAGGGACGTGACCCTGCAATGTGATCCTGGATCCCCAATCCCCGAGGCTGCCTTGATCCTCTCTGTACTTTGGGGGTTTATTCTTCCCTTTCCATTAATCTCTGAATATTAGGTGGAAAGTGAACAATTACTGTGCTAATGGCTCCATAAACTCCTTCATTACTTATTAAACTCGAGCACTCCTCGCTCAGCTGAGAAAAAGAGATGAAATGGCGAAGAAAAGGGCT